TCATCATCATCATCATCATCATCATCATCATCATCATCATCATCATCTAAAACAATACATTCTTGTTCATTTGATTTTGTTAATGTTGATGTTTGATTATAATTTGTTGGTTGATGATTATAAACTGTTTGTAATGAATGTTTTATTTCTTCAAGACGTTTAAGACGATCTTGTTCAGCTTTAAGTGCTGTTAATGTACCATCTTGTAATTTATCATTTGTTAATAAAGTACGAATATTACGACGCATATATATTGGTTGATTTTTAGATTTTTTTTTTCTTTTATGTTCTTTGTTATCTGATGATTGTTCATTTTTACGTTTTTTTATTTTAATTTTTAATTCATTATTTGACGATATATTTGTTCTAGGTATTGTATATTCATTTGATTGATTATTATCATCAGAATTTGTATTATCATCGTCATTGTATAATAAATCATCTAATGTATCCGAAAGTGGTGATTCACTCATGATAAAATATGTGTCTTCTTTTTTCTTCACAACAATGAAACTAAAACATCTAAATAAAAGAAGATGATATAATTCGGATATTTCCATATATTGGCTTACTTTATCGTATCTTCTTTTTTTTTTTGTTCCGTTCCTATTTATATTTATTATTTATGGACTTTTACTTTTCTTTTTTTTCAATTGTCTTATGATTGGTTATATGATTTAAACCAATGAGAAATTTTTATTGTTGTGTTTTTTTTGAATGTTTTTCTTTTATAAAAAATATTACTATTTTATGTTTTAATAGATATCATTTCCTCCCAAAGAAAAATTTATTCATCCTATGAAAAAAATTCAAAAGATTATTTACATTAAAGATGAACCTTAGTAATTTCGAATATAAATATGTTTGTTTTTATGAGAGTAACAATTCTACAATATGAAAGCTTCTATGACAAGAACAATATATCAGGAGAATGGAGTTGAAAACAGTTTAGAGATTTTTCCTTGCGCATTTCAAATAACATTGTCAACATTAAGCAGATCAATAACTAATGATACAGTTTTCGATATAAATCTTGTGTTCTACATGTAATACATAAAATAGACTTATGCTTAATTCATCTAAATAATGTATCGACATTACCGTATTTTCATCACATTTTTTCTGACTAATGAATTTCATAGATGTTTTGCAAATAATGATTGTGTTTAAATTATGAAACTATTATTGATATACGAGTTAGATCTAATATACAGAATATTCTAAAACAAAACTTACTTTGCTGTAAAATAATATTTCTGCTCGTCTAAGCTTTGTTTCTTTGTTCAGTTATCTTTTTGTAACAGATAGAGATATTTTTATTTCGTAAACGTTGTTCCAACATGACTGGAGACAAACAAGAAATCTGTGTTGGAACGATATACTCTTATCGGAAAGCAGGAAATACTATCACTAACAGTAAGTTTTGAGTCTAGTGGCGCAACCAAGAATGGAAAATATTGGGCGTTGCCCTGCTATCAGAAGAATGAAAAATGTAATAAATAACATCATTGACACTAGATGTCATATGTTCCTTCCAAGATCATACTGATCTATTCGCTATGGAAAAATATTCTTCTTTAGTATGTTGTACTTTATTTCTTATTATGAAATCAAAATTTATCAATAATTTAGACATCTTTTTGCAGCCATTGGAATGCTCTACCTACAGCATTTAATTGATCGTAAAAAAAATGAATTCAAATATGATATATTGTTATTCTATGGATATTTTAATAATTGTAGAAATTTAGCTATATGCTGTGAACATTCAGAAACATAGCCTGAAAATTTCAAGTTATATTAATATAGGTAAAGTTAGCACTATATTCGAGTTTTTTGTGTCTCGATTCGCTTTTCGACTTGGGTTGGCTCTCTACTTGATTGGATTATAAGCAGAATTAAATTCTACATTGAATGGTACCATTTTTAACCAGGGTCATCGAGCAAAAAATTCATTTTTACCCAAAATACCGACTTTTTTAAGGACTTTTCCAAAAGTATTTTGCGTGCGAATTCGCTCTCTCACTTGAGTTGGTTCTAAAAATTGTTCGGTTGAGTTCAGAATTCAATTCTACGTCGGATGATACTAATTTCGACTAGGGTTATCGGGCAAAACCGACAGGTGAGGGTGAACGAGGACCAAAAATTTTGATCTGGCATTGTTAGTGATATCTATTTGTTTTGCCCGATAATCCTAGTCGAAATTAGTATCATTCGACGTAGAATTGAATTCTGAACTCAACCGAACCATTTGTAGAGCCAACTCAAGTGAGAGAGCGAATCCGGACGCAAAATACTTTTGGAAAAGTCCTCAAAAAAGTCGGTATTTTGGGTAAAAATGAATTTTTTGCTCGATGATCCCGGTTAAAAATGGTACCATTCGATGTAGAATTTAATTCTGCATATAACCCAACCAAATAGAGAGCCAATCCAAGTCGAAAAGCGAATCGAGACGTAAAAAACTCGAATATAGTGCTAACTTTACCTACGTGTTATATTACTATTTCGTTATTGAATTAATTCAAAAGATCGGAATGTAGCAAATAGGGTATCGTTCGAGAACAGATTTCATATTCAATGAATTTCTTCTTTGCCTCCACTTATGGTAGAATTTGTTCAAAATAAAAACGGTTTTGTTTGATAGTATTTTTTCAGATCTATATATTACCAGGGGAAATCGATTCTAAAACTAGATCTTATCAGTGTAGAAATTACATTTCATAGGGGGATAAGGTTTCTTTGACTATCCTACATATATTTGTTTAGTTTATCTAGAATTGATATGATTAGTGCTTAAAATGATCCCATGATTTTTTTAACGACTATCCATAGTTTAAATTAAATAAAATATTTGTTATAACAAAAAATTTGGTTGACATGAATTGTATTCAAAAAGATAAACTACTATAAAGAGAATGGTTTCAAATTTCAAACCATATTACGAACGAACACAATGAGTAGTTGACGTATCCGTGAAATAAACTCTTTAGGCAAATACATAGGAGGTGTTCCAGAAGTTCTGAAATGATTTTTAACATTTATCATTTTCGCATTTATTAAAAGCGAATCTTTTTGAAACTTTGATAGATTGTTGAGCATACCTAATACTACGTAATCAAAAAGTTTGAAGTCTATATCTAAACCTATTGATGAGAAGCTGCAAAAAACACTGCGATGTATTTTTTTCAAAATTTTTCGATAGCTAAAATTGATATGAAAATGATAGGAAAGTTATTATTTCCAAGGTGTTTTAACTAACATATGTCAGAGTAGAAAATCTTTCTTTTATCAATATATTTTTGCTTCTGCACGTGTCGATGAACGGAGTATATAAAGAATAACATTAGTCTGTTACAACTGAATCAACACCGAATGTCGCGTGAACAATCAGGGACAGATAAAAAAGAATTTCGTTCATTTATATTACATTTAAAACAAATATATCCATCATGGAAATCTAAAGATATTACAAATTTTCTTATTCAATCAGAAAATCCGCCTTCTTATACAACGAAAAGTGCTTTGAACGTCAAAGTTTGTAGAATTCTAAATAGAAATCAGGTAAATGGTTTGTGAAGATCGGGTGCACCACGTACAATAACAACAACACCTGAATATATTCAAGCTGTAAAAAATAATCTTCGTATAATCAAAAACGTATCCATCAGAAATGTTAGTACAAAACTTCAACAACAAGGTTTTAAAACATCGAAAAGTTCAATTTGGCGAACTAAACAATCATTAAAATTAAAATGGTGGAAAATAGAAATAGTATAAAAATTAACAACCGATCAAAAACTTCAACGTGTTATCATTGCAAAACGATTACGAAAAAAAATATGGTTTTAAGAAAGGAAATAAGCTTTATGATTGGGCTTATGTTTTGAATACAGACTTTAGTAATATATTTACGTTAAGTCCTCAATACAATCAACACAACGAAGGTATTTATGCTAAATCCATATCTGATATTCCATACGAATTGAAAATGAAACCAAAAGCAAAGTTTCAGAAAAGTGTCATGCCATGTGGAGGTATTTCCTATCAAGGATTATTTCCTAAACAATCAAAAACTTTTTCGAGATCTGTTCGAAGGCAATAAATGAATTTAATGAAATTTGATTGCGAATCATAAGAAACATAAACCCCTTAGTGAAAAAAATCGAATTCAAAGTCTTATTTTCCATCTCTGTGAATGGTACTGGTGAATTTCAGTATTAACCAGGAAACATTCTCAAGTATGATTTACTAATCGAACTGGCATTTTATTTAAGGTAAGCTCTGACGGGACTGGTTAATTTTTCAAAAATCTCTGACAGCATATTTATGGCAAAAAAATCGAAGTACGAAATTTCAACGTGAAGTTTTTGTCCATAGTTAAATTTTGTTTTACCTTGAAAACAATCATCTATGACAACCAAAGATAAGAAAGTCCAGTGTTTTTTTTTGTTTTGAACAATCGATATGTTTTCGAATGACACTGTTTCTTAATTCTTGAGTAGTAAAAATCAATATTTGACAACGTAACATTTGTATGATAGTAAATAAACTTTTTTTAATCTTTATGTTTTAATTTAAGGTTTTTACAACTGACCATCAACTTGTACTATATTGAATAATAAAGTTCGACGAAAAAATAAATTATGAACGAGTCAAACAAGATAAAAATGTGCTTCGACTAATAAACTTATGAAGAACAAAAGTATGATATGTGATTATCAAATTGAATATGAACGTTGGCATTTTGCACGTGTTTTATTCTATGTTTTCTACGCAATAGTAATATTTATTGATCATTAGGTCTTTTTGAAGATATTCATAAAAAACAAACGTTTTTTTTTATTTGCTGCATAAAACTGGTGACCTCCATCGGGTCCTATTAGTATGTGTTTCATAGATTACAAGTATCACATATAAAAAGATAGTGATGTACCAGCAGAAAAGAGAAATAGAATAAGAGATTGAGAAATACAATAAGACAAGATCAGTCGATGTTGTTGTAAGGATGAAAGGGAAAGAAAAACATTTAACGCTTTAAACATTAACTTCAAACACAGTTAACAAACATGTGAAGAGAAAAAAAATGATAACAAATCTAATACGTACGTATCTATTAGGATGCAGACAGTATCATAAAGAGGTATGCTAACGTTAAAAAGTTTCAGGAAATTCTTTTAGCATTAGCAGGTCAGAAACACAAAATTCCAGAATGGAGTGTTGCACCGCGTTATTGGCACACTATTTCAGAGCTTTTCATCATACTGAAGTATGCTCAATAAATCTTTCAGATTTTCTTAAATTAGGAATAGGATATTCTTTTTGTACCCAGCCATTTCTAAATACATTCTAATTCAATACTTCCATTAGAAGTACTCCGTCCTTCGAGTCGCTTAAAGCACTTAGATATTTATCCCAGTATTTACTACATCTATCTTCCAAAGATATTTCATTATATAAAAAAAGCAAAAAATGTATCGTTCTATTTCCAATCATATAGTATCTTTTTCAAGCAATTATAGTAAAAATTTGAAAGATCATTTCTTTGTTTACTCGTAAACAATGGAAAGATTGCAAAAAGCCAAGTAAAGAGTGGAAGAATGTAACAAGAAAAAAGAGCCCTCCTAAGCTTGAAAGAGGTGAAACCATCAATTCTACATGCCTTTACTAAAAAAAAACAAACGTTCTTGTCTATCTTTCTTTTATATACTATTAAATATCTGATCATATTGCTGCTGATACGCAACTTTGGCGAAAAAAAACTTGCTTTATATAAAGCAACAGGATGAAGATCGAGAAGAAACTATTGTCAATCTTAAGTATAGATTTAATTAAAAGTTCTACCGAGAATTACGCCATGGTTTTTTTGTTTATTTATTTAGAAGACAAGTTGCAATGATTTACAAAAAACGAGAAAAAAAATTATGATCTATTTCAATAAGTAAAAGAAGGACGAGTCGATTTTTGATAGGTGCAAGATAGAGAGGTACAATTTGTGATTGTTTTAAAATATGTTTTTTTCGAATCTATCAACAAGTTTATTACATGAAACAAATCCTTGATTAATGTTAAAGCTTCTAGGATTTTAATTTTCAGGAGTGCATTAGAATTGTGAAGTAAAGACATATAAACTATGTAAATTTGATATTGTAATAATGTTTAGCAAATATATATTCTTCAAATTAATTAGATATGCTTTATTAAAAGTTACAAAAGAAAAGAAGTACATTGATTTATAGTTAATTGAATAATTTCTGTTATAAGAAAGCTTGTCATTCCAGTCCACGTACGAGCTAAAAATGTCAAACTCATATATGTGTATTGATTAGTCTTACGACAATATTTATTTCTAGGTTTGAAACAGAGTTTTTTTTTAATATTCTATTATTCATTTATTGTTTTCATTACTATTTGAGCGTTTTATTTTTCTTTCATTCAACATAATTATATTATACAGGCCTCAATGTACTCGATTTTATGTTGCTTATTAATATGATGAATCCCTAAGATTATAATGTAAAGTAGAATGAAATGAAAATTGTTATTGATCTATGTCGTTCAGCTCATCTATCAATCTTTTGTCTGGTTGTTTGTTTAACGTTTGTCGATGATTTTCTAAAGATTCTTCGTCGAAGAAGTTATAATGAAGACATTCGACGAAATTTAGGTACCGCCATTGATTATCAGCATCATCGTTGCCATGAAAGAAACGTTGTAACAGATAAGGCAGATTAAATGGATACACTTTGCATTTCAATTTTCAATCACTTAATAGATTGTATTAAAAAAACATATACCAAAAGACGCAGCGTGAAAATCTCTGGAATTTATTTAAAAAGGAGTTTATTATATATGAGTGTGCCCAGTCAGTGGGATACCCCTAGTATATTTGTTGATATAGCTTTAATAGTTATCATCAAAATTTGATTTTTTTACCAGTTGTAGTACATATATAGACCTAATGATCTATTGTTGTTAGAGATCTATATCTTGCTATGAATGATGATTACTAATCGTTCTCTCATGATCATTATACTGAAGATGTTTCACATTGAATTTACTGACATTTCACTCTCAGCATATGCTTATGTGTAATAATTCTTTATTTTATCGCCTTCTCGTGTTACAGCTGCACATTTTTCGTTCTATCTCTAGTAACTTTTTTTCACTTTCGTCTGTTTCTTTTCCTTTTCTTCGATCTGTTTTCACTTGTGCACATTCATTTATATCTCTCTACTATGTTCTCTCAACGAATTGAATGATATTGTTCTCAATGTCAATCAGCTCCAACTGATCAACGAAGATATTGTGCCGTTTGTCACTCGATGTTAACCTGGACATGCATTAGCTCTGGAAGATCGGGCTTATACACAAATTATTATCCACATCGTGGTAACTGCAATTTCTGTATGATAGAACTTGATGAAGATCGACAACAAGAGATACAAGATAAACAGGTTGCTATTCAACAAGAATTTCAGACTCTAAATAACGGTAAGTAACACTAACCTTCTCATATGACACTTACAGTTCCATTTAATTATACTATTCTACAAGCATAGCCGACAATCAATCGCTAAAAAGCGTTTTTGTTTATATCTTGTAGAACAATGTCCATGGTCAGAATGGCGACGAAATGATGAATTGTGTGTACAACACACTGGATTTGATGTTGAACAAGTGCAACAATTATATAGTATGTGTGAAGAATCACTTATGAAGTATTGTCTCCATAGAAACGAGCAACATATAAATACTGTCGTCACACCATACTTATCTCCTGTGAATTTACTAATGTTAGCTTCAACTAAGAATATTTATTAGTTTTAGATGAAGAAACAAAAAAACAGAACACACTGGTTTTTAGGGTGTGGGTGGTGGATGTGATTGTGGAGTGTGAGGCGTGGGTGTGATTGTGGAGTGTGAGATGTGGGTGTGGGTCTAGCTCTTCTATCCACCCACACCGACACCTCACACCGACATTCACACCCAACACCCACACTCTCAAATTCATCGAGCAGATGTTGACAGCAGCGCACGTGGTAATTGTTGAGCAGGAACAACGGTAAAGAGCTTAAGAGATGTGATCGATTTTGATTTCAAATATGAGAGTATTGTACGGAAAAAGATTACCTACAAAACCACGCTGTTAAAACAACTTTTACCTTCTTCAATATGTATGTCTAGTAAGTAAGAAAAAAAACATGCAAACGATTATATAAATGTGGTGTAAAGTGATCTCAATTTTCGGCAATGAGATTTCAATTAACGTAAGAACGATAAATGATTTCGTCTAGAATCGATCCTGTTCTATCGGAGGTTTTCATTTGCCAGAAGACTAACTCATCATTTTTAATTATATCGGGTAAAAGATGAAGGGCAAATCGTCAAAATTGCCGTTTTGCGGAAGTTACTGAAGAGACAAAGATTCACACTGAAGATTCAAAACCGTTCGTATCATCTCGAGACATGGATCTTCTTAGCATAGTTCGAATGAATTTCTAGCGACTCGCACTTCGCTAGATCATTACGACACAAAGTACAGATTTTGTTACAGAGAAAAATACGCAAAGTATGGAGACCAAATACATATGCGACTGACTACAGAAATGCGGTGCCATGCACTACGTTAAGAAATAATTTGCAACGAATATTCGAACTTTTATATTACAGGATTTTTCGAAATCTTCTCAGAAAAGTAAATTTTTCATAAAAGTCAAACGTTATTCTGTGAATTTATTACTTCATCTATTTAAATTTCTTTTGGTTGGATGCTTAATCATAACCAATCAGATGTTCTTTTATATATATATATGCCCGCCTATTTCATTTGATGGAAACTGATAAATATAAAAGAAATTGATCTTTTATATAAGTAATAATGAGTAAAGCACATGAAGTAACAGCTTGGATTGATTTAAATATTATTGATAAATCATGGGGACAATCATTAACAAAAGAATTTGATGATAAAAAAGCAAAATATCTTATTGAAAGTATGCCTGTGCCAAATACAATAACCTGGTTAGTTTATCTAAAATTTTATTGATTTACATTAAAAATTGAATTTTCAATTAATATTATAAATTATTTTTCTTTTCTATAATAATAATTTTAAAATCTTAATTTAGGTCAATATCAAATATAGCTAATAATATCGACGAGGAATTTGTTAGTCAACTATTATTATTAATGACATATGAACAATTTTTTCAATTTGTTTCTGTATGTAATACAAATAAAAATAATATATCAGATTTATTTCAAACAATAAATGATAAATATAAATCAAAAAAATCCATAACTATTGTTATTATTGGTACAAATTCATCATTAAATCTTAGTAAATTATTAACACGTTCATCATTAATAAAATCTTATGATTTAGATAATATTTATATTGAATTACAACTTCAATATAATTGTATTATAAAATACGCTGAAAAAGATCATGATCTTGCTTTATTAATTCTATCATTTACAAAAGCCATAACAGTTGCACCTGAAAAACGTTTAAAAAATCTTTCACCATTTTCATTTCATGTTGATACAATGAAACAATATAAACCTATACGTATTGATATTGATCAAACAAATAAAACACTTGAACAGTTATGGAAACAAATTTTACAACAATTTTCACAGATGGGTATGGAACAAGCACAAGCTATTATTAATCAATATGGTACTATACAAGCATTAGTACAAGCATATAAACAATGTCAAACAGAAAATGATGCAAAATTATTATTAGCTGATATACAAGTTCGACGTGGTGCTGGAGTTTTAACAACAACACGTAAAATTGGTCCACAAATGTCAGAAAAAATTTGGAAATTATTTACATCAACTAATGGAAATGATCTTTTGTAAAGACCAAAAAAAAAGACCATTAGATATAATTTTATCTTGATATAGTTGCTCACTGTATAGAATATGATTATCTATTTTGTTTTTCTTATTCTAGATAAAATTATGTAATTGAAATATTTCAATATTATAAAATAATATCTATTTATGTTGAAAAATTAAATCAATGTTTTAAAATTATTAGGCACGAAAAAAGTTTGTTCATTTTGATCGAAATATTACCTAGAGAAATACTGCTCATACATTCGTACGAGTAGCGTAATTAGGAGGGAAAGGGACCAGCGTGTTTCCACCCGCAGCTCACCTTATCGATCGAGTTTTTAAATGAAAATCATTCAGAACATGTTAGTTCAAATATTGAATTATTCAAGGTGTTTATGTAATTTCAGACTGAAAGTAATAATCACTATTTTATGTTGTCCGTTATGACTCATATTTCTTGAGAAAAACTAAAACTTAAATTGTTTGAAATCTAGTAAAACCATCGCATCTTTCTTTCTATCGCCCTCATCGAATAAAACAAAAGTTAAATGATCAAGAATCGTACACCCTTCATCCACTTCTCTAGAAATATCAACACGATTTGTTTCATCTAAAACATAAAATTTATTGTCCATAGTTGATTTAACTAGCAATGTACATGCTTATACAACTGCTATATATGATCAATCTATATCATCATTCTTATCTATTGATATTAGTTGTTCATCAGTTGATCTATTTGACCAATCTTTATTTGCCGACTATTGAATATAATACAGATATAAATTCTAAGTAGTTTATTGATGATTTTTCAGAGACTCACAAAAATAGGCATCTTTTTTTGTGTCACTTTTGTGCGATGTTATCTTTAGAATTTAGCAATATCAATTTGACATATATAGAATTTCTAGTGACGCAACTAGTTTGTACATATTTACTTTTTCAAGATAATAATAGTCTAGTCCAGGGTTAGATGAGTCAAGTTATTTTTGTCATTTTTTTGTTTGCTTTTTATTTTTATAGAGAACGTTAACAAACTTTTCATGGCACAATATCTTGTTCTTAGCTTTTATGCACAAAATAAAAACAGTTCTGCATAAAATACAGTGATATAACTACTATAACCTTATCTAGAGTCCTGTGAAACAAACTTTTTTGCGAGTCCCGAATCTCGTTTGTTCGGTATTGAAAATTTTCGGAACTATGTCGCAGAACTCTATCCTTATCAACAAAGTAAGGACAGTAAAATCAATTCTTCACTTTCATACAGTTTCATAAGAAAGTTAAAAAAATCATCAATATTTATAAACAAAAAAAAACAATATTTATTAACATTTAATTTAATGTCTTATTATACTTCAAAGATGCTCAAATGCAAATATTAACTTGTGAAAATTTTGAAAGATGAACTATTTTGTTTTTTTCGAAAATAAAATGTCTTTGCAAAAACTCATCAATTTATTCTGAAATTGATTTCGATGTTGAATTATCAACTTTTACTTTTTTTGAATGAATGAGTACCGTCAAAAATGTTTTTTTTTTTTATTAAATTGATTGTCTGTACATGTGACTCACAAACTAACATCTTTTCTTGAAGCAAAATAGTCATGAATATCCATGCATCATTTTAGAGAAAAAATTTACAAGTCTTCTTTCAAATGCTTTTCTGACAGTTAACTCATTTTTCTCATTTGAATAAATTTCGATTCATATCTAACTTTATTATTTATTGTAGATGGTTAAAACTATTTAATATCATCTATAACGAAAGTGATTAGAAGCCGATAGTCAGTGGTTCCTTGACATGTTTGAATCAAATGAATTTCTTAAGAATGATTGTCTAATACAAAACTAGAGTGCTAGTCGAGACAAGTCGGAGTTAAGCATGTATTCAATAAATGCTAAAGCGGTTTTAAATCTTGATAAAAGAAATAATAATGAATCTAAATCTGATATATATTTTGTTATTTTACAAGATATTGAATCAGCTGAACCATTTGAGAAAACTGGTCAGTTGTTGACTCATAAATCAAAAATAAGACAAAAAAACAACATTTTCCAAGATGACTACGTAACTGATTAACTCACTGTATTTCGTACCATCAGTTACTTTATAATAATGAAATGTGTCATTTTATTAGAAGAAATGTATATTGTTTCTTTTAATTCTATATTTAATTATCTAATTTTGAATTTCTTGTTTTTTTCTAGATATAAAATAAAATATGTTTTTAGTTGTATTCGATTTTGATCATACAATCATCGATGCTAATTCAGATATACATGTTAGTAAACTTTTTCCATCCGATGAAGAACGACTAGTAGCTGAAAAAAATTGTTCACAATTTCAATGTTGGACTGATCGTATGCAAGATATATTTCGTCAATTACATAAATATCATATTAAAGAAAATGATTATATAAAAAATATGCAAGAAATACCATTAACAGATGGTTTTAAACATTTAATTGAATATTTATATTCATTATCAAATAGTCATTTAATTATTGTTAGTGATTCAAATCTTGTTTTTATACAAACAATTTTAAAACATAATCATCTTCATCATATTTTTAAAGATATATTTACAAATCCAGCTTATTTTAATAAAGATGATCAATGTTTAATAATAGAACAATATGGTCAACAAACATGTCCAACATGTCCATCAAATATGTGTAAAAATGAAATAATTGAAAAATATTGTCGTACAAAATTTTCTCAATCAATACCTATTTTATTTATTGGTGATGGACATAATGATGTATGTGCAGCAAATAATTTAAAAAAAGGTGATCTTGTTTGTGCTCGAAGTGGTTATCGAATGGCAAAAGAATTAAAACAACAAGAAAAATTAAATATAAAAAAGCTTCAAGCTGATTTTTTTGAATGGAATGATGGAAAACAAATTGAAGATTATATTAAAGATAATTGGTTAAATAAATTTTAAAAGAATTTTTTTGTTTCAACTAAATCGAAAAAACAATCCAAGGATCATTACTCTTACTCTCAATATTTCTATTTAATCAATTATCCAATGCTTAACACACTGATTTTTATTATAGATTTCATTGAAATATTTTTTTATTATCCATTAACACCGAAGAAATAGAATGTAGTGAATGAACTTATGATAATAGGCGATGCAAAACTTCCTGAAGAAATGTTTGTTTATTTGTCATTGGTTAAAACATGTGTGAACAAACTTGAAAGTACTTGTATAGAATCTGCGCTGAAAGCTCTTCCTAGAAGCACGTCTGTAAATAGAACTAAAATTTGGTCTGTAAAACGAGATAAATACCGCAGTATTTTGCGATTTCTTTCAATTCATTGCATGAGATGATGTTTATCTTTTCTCTACCAAGTTACCGTTCCTATTCTCAATAAATTATTCTTTTTATTAATAACATTTTTTTTTCGATTGTCGTCTTTATGTTACAAAAGACGTAGGCAACAGATAATATGATTCATACCGAAGAAATATTGAAATTAAAAATGAGTAATGAATAGACTTTATGTGAAACTTATTGATCGAACAGCTGAGAAAAAAAATTGGTAAAAAATGATGAAAAATCTATTTAAAAGTCATAATTAGTCTAATGTCTTCTTCATTCTATGTTGAGAAAAAATAAACAAAGTCAGTATTTTATCAGTATTTTAAATTAAATTTTACCAATAACTTTTTTTTAAATTTCTTCAAATACTAAAAAGATAATTTTGTAATAATTAAACAACCTTAACTGTTCTACATATTATTAATATGTATGACTTTGTTTTTTAAATATGAACTCATATTATTAATAAAGCTTTAAATACTAGGTAAAAGATTTCTGAATATTTATTATTACAAGAAAAAAAACCGATGGGATTACATCCTCAGATAATTAATATGTAAAATAAAATAAGTTTATTTTTAATGTGGATAAAACGATTTTAGCAATTCTTCTTGTTTCTTTATCATAAAAGAAAATATGAATTTTTAATCTATCCATAAATCGAAGTGTCTTATTCGATGTGAAATTTAAATATATCGTAAGATTTGTCATGATATCATCTATAAAAAGAAATCTCATGATGTGTCTGAGAATATGTTCACTCTTATTTCCTTGTTATGTCAATGATAGACAAGAGAGTTATTCAACTTCCTCCCTATAAATTTCAACATTTATTAAACATGCACAATTTCACTATTGATTTGTCTTTGATTTGTTCTATGAATTACGTAATTTAAAAATTATTACAAAGTCAAAGATGATGTGTAAAACTTCATATACTTTTATTTAAAAAAAAACCAGATTTATTCAAATTTGAGTAGATTTCTGATATTATGCAAGTCAATTACACATAAAACTTCTGGCAAATCTACTAACAACATTCGCAACCATTGAATTAATCCCCATTTGTTGAGCACCATAAAGCTGACCAGTTGCATCATAGTTTTCAAAATGACTTTGCATATGTTAAGAATATTGTTGATCGAGATTATTTCGATATGCATACATTTGACTAGTCACATGTTAATAATGATTCCCAGTGTAAGTTCTCAAACCCGTTATAATGAAGCGTAAAATAATAAACAGATGAAATGATAACATTAGACATAATATATAATTAGCAAATATTTATTTATTTTATTGTTGTATAATTAATGAGAACGAAAGCAAAAAAACAACATATACACAATATTAAAAATAGATCTTTTAAGTTGTATGACGAGCTTTAGTAATCAAATGATCGTTGCCTAATAAACTATTTGTATATTTTGTTCTATATAATGTGTTTTGATCTGTTAAAGATACTGGTCGTTTTGTATTTAATTTTCTACATATTTGAGGATTTATTGGTGTTGGACCTTGTTTTGCATTATGAAAATAATCGACAAGTTCTTGTGGATGATTTTTTGCAAATCGTGCTTGAAAATAAATAGGTGTTCGTCCTTGACAATGAATAAGACGACGACCCAATTGTCGAATATCACTCTAATAAATAAAAAAAAAATATCGAATTCAATTCAAATGAGGAAAAAAAAAAGAAAAGTAATATTTTACTCGAAATCGATTATTAGTAAATCCATATATAATTGGATTAATTGCTGTATTTGATATTGTTAAAAAATGAGCAGCTATATAAAGAAGTTTAATTAAAGTTGGATGACTACAAAATGTTTGATATTTTGTTCCTTGATAACAAATTATATTTAAACATAATTGAAATACATTCATTGGTAACCAAAGTATTGCATAAAGCACAACAACAGCAATTAACATTTTTATACCCTAGAATAATAATTATCATAATTATATTGATTGCAATTAGACATTCATATATCTTATAAATATTTTGTTCTTAAGATAATCTTTGTATTAGAAAAAGAGGTTTTAATCCAGCAAAGAAATATAATTGTATATCATATTATAGAATCATGTAAAGTACTCAATTACTCTTGAGTTTATGCTTTGTTAATGAAGTGAAGTTTGTATAATTAATAATTAATGTTTAGAAAAGTCTAGAAGTCGATGAAGAATTGAAAAATGCGTTTCTATGGGGAAATTCATCTATGAATATTAATGATTATAAATAGATTACGAGCATAGACAAAAAAAAGTCTGAATACTTTTTTTTACGGTTAGAATGTTCTGTCAACCTTTAGTATATCTATATAGTTTATTGATATATTTGACAAGAACTTAATATCTAATTATTGATAATCAGTAATTAAATTTTAAAAATTAGATAACAGCCAATTATTTTTTATCAATTGTTTTTGTTGCATGATTTCTAATGATTATTATTTATTTAAATAGACATTTTTTAAAATGCACTATTATTACTATTATTATTAAACATTTATCAGATAACAAGAGTATTTCCGAGAAGGTAGCGGATATGTCTGACTAATATAAAACAATGTACTCGTGAAAATTTTTAAAATCAAGTAATTAAAATTGAACATATTGAAAATAAGCTTATATTCAATATTTTAAGTTGAACCATAAAATTTTACTTTTTTTTTTTTCTTATTAAGGATAAATGTTGATGTATATTGAAGTAATAAGTTTTATTTATCAATATTTTCACTCGATTTACATCGAAAGTTTATTAGAGAGGAAAAAAATTTAAAGTTCAATTTTGTAATGATAATGAACTTTTCTGTCGAACAAAGGTTAATAATTTTTTTTTTGAAATAAAAATAAATGAAATATTATTTCACCGAAATAGAACATTTAAATACGACAAAACACCATAGATGAAAAGATTTATTTTATTAATCAAGAATTCTTTATATTAGATATCTAGTGTTTAATTCTCATCTATTGTAACGAATATTTAAGTTTATAATAGAAAACCAAAGAATATTTAATAGCTAATTTATATCAAATTTTTTACGGTGTATAAATTGATATGACAGTATTTTGTTTTTATTTTACATTGATTATTAAGAATATGTAATAAGAAACCCTCGTAGAAAGAATCTCCTGATAGGTTAAATTATTCTAGCATAAATAAAGAATGTCAAGGTATATTCTTAAATCTTCGATGCATAAAATTTGAAAAACTATTTTTAGTGAAAACAGATTACTTATATATAATGACTCTATAGATTTTGTTTTTCAGAGAATTAGCCGTTTCGACTGAACTTCTTGTTTTTTTGGGATTTTAACCCGCATATGTAAAAATAACTATCAACAAGAGTATTATCATTAATCAGAGGATTAGTTTCAAGCGGATTTACGGATTATTTCTATATAAAAAATAAAATCATTTGATGATTCTTTATGTGCACGAATGTTATCTATAATTTCTTGGTAGGTTTCTTTGTCAGATACAATCAATTTTATGTAGGTGGTTTCAAAAGTAGCTGAAAAAAAGTATACGAGAAAGTGAAATGTTATTTTTAGGAAACTGTTCCGTAGCAAGAAGATTTTATTCGTTAGTATAAAAACAAACTCTCGAACATGAACGAGAAACACCTTTTTATATGAAAGTTCGTTTGTTTTATAGACTATGTTCTTACGCGATAAAAAGAAGAAGAAAAAACAACAACAACAACAACAACAACATACTTGTTTCAATTTTTTTCTAAATTGAATACTTTCATTTGTAAATAAATTTTTACTTCCAGAATTATGAAGATCATAATTTACATCATTCCGTCGTTGCCATAATATAACAGCTATACGTAAATAAACAAAAGCTAATATAAATAATGGAAAAAAATATGTTTGTAAAAAATTTAATATTGTTCTTTGAACTTCAACTGGTCGTGTACTTTTATTTGGTAAACATTGTACTGTATTAATTATTTCATAATGAATTTGTTCTAAATAATAAGTTGATTTTATTGTATTGGTTGTATTATCTAATGTATTTAAATAATTATCTAATAATGTACGTGAACTAACCCATAAACGTTTTTCATGTGTTGGTAATGAACGTGCAGGTGACCATATTAGAGCTAAAGTTATACTTAATATCCATATAATTAATATTGCAATTAGATTACGTTTTTTTGGTGAATATATTTTAATTGTTAATGGATGTTTAACAACACAATAACGATCTATAGCTATGGTTATTAATGTTAAAAGAACACCTGATACAGAAAATGTTTTAAAACCATCAAGTACAACACATAATGCACTTGCATATAACCAACGTTGAAATATAATTGATGTTATTGTAAATGGTATACAATAGACAGTCATTATAATATTAAATACAGATAAATTTAATAAAAATGGTGTTAATTCTGAACGTGAACGACGACCAAAAAAAAATATAATTATTGCTATAGAATTTGTAAAAAATGAAAATATAACCATTATACCATAGATAAATAAAATAATAATTTCATATGTATATAAATCAGAAAATGAAAAAAAAGTTATTGGATATCGATAATAAAGATTTTGTAAAGATAATTGTGATGAAGTAAATTTATTATCAATTGGATTTTCATTCGATGTCATTGTTTAATAAAATGTAAAAGCAAAAGAAAAAGAACTCGAGTGTTTTTGATCTATAAAAATAATTATTATTCACTAATACGTTGCATATATTTTTTGTAAAATTTGCAATAAATGTAAAAAATAATTTGTTCTAATTCATATACAAATGAGAATCATTCTTACTAGAGTTCTTTTTTTTCTTTCCTTTTTTTTTCTCTTTTATCTCATAGATTTTTTTTTCTTCTTTTTGTCACTATTGAAGACATAATGTTCATTTTGTATTAAGGGAGAAATGATAATGATGAATGATGGCAGATCAATGTACTATGTAATATAGTTTACTGAAGGGTATTTATTCACTTGTAGTATGAGATATATTGAACGCATAATATTCCGATTAATATGCATGAAAAGAATTGTTTTTTTTTTTGTAAATTAGTTCGAAATCTAACACCATTCATTTATTCCAATGAATAACGCAGAACTGGATCTATTTTTTTAAAATCTTTTTTTCTCACTTTTCGAATTAACAATTGTTGTAATGATTAAAATAATCAAAAGAAGTAGTTTTATTTTTTTCTTCGTTTAATAATATTATATGTTTAGATTTACTGATATTATTACAAACAAGAAGAGGTATTCATGAATCTTGTTTATTCAAATAAATGAATATAATAACAGGTCTAGAATGACAGACTTTAATCATAGGTATCTGATTGCATTTGTTCCACTGAATTCAATTAATTTATTATGAGTAGATTATTTTTTCTGGAAGAATTAATATTGAACGTTTTCAGCTTTCTTTTTTTTTACACAGAAAATTCTATTTATCAAAACTGTATACATTCGAAAAAGTAATATCCAAGAAGCAAGACTCTAACGATTGTAATTATTATTTTCATGATAACTATCTTCTTTCGTTTTTTTCCCCAATGTCTATCATTCCGTGTCAATACAAATGTAGTTTTAACAATAACAAAATAGATAAGTACATATAAAATAAAATCTTGTCTGTATTTGTTTTGTTTTTTGCTTGTGTAATATATAGAGAAACAAAAAAAAAACACATTGTAGTCGAAAGTCATTGATCTCGATGTATTAATTTCCTTACTTATCAATGAGAATGACATTAAAAATGTAAAAATAGATATAGTAATATTTCACTTGAGACTATAATTTATTTTTGCTAAGAATCACTATAATGTTTTTTTCACTCACAATCTCAGCCAATGTAAGATTTTTGTGTTAAGTACCATTTTATTGATAACTCAATAAATCTTACACATTGATATTATTCACTTATTTCTTCTTTTTTTGTTTTCTGATCATTACATGCAAATGAATCAATATTGGTTTTTTTTTTGTATATACTAATGTCTCAATGGAATTCTATTCATTGTAGTTCATCTATTTTGATGATGATTCTATATTATTTCAAAATAAATGAATATTATAAATAAGCATATCTATCGTCAACAAAACAAAATAGAAAATAATTATTTAAAAAAAAATCAATTATTCTTTATGCTGATAGAAAACATTTCTGATCATCTCTGGGACTCTTCACTTTATTTTCTTCTATTTTTAATTAGTAACCAGAATTCGAAAGCTTCCAATGAAGCGCTTCTTTCCTATCCAAGAATAGTAAGTCGAGGACCACTTGAAGCTTTTCATTTACATAACAACAATAACTATTAATCTTGTAGTCTCAATTGACTCTGTCAGTTTTGTAATGTTCTGAGCATCTAATTATTTATATAAATATATATATATATATATTTTTTTTTACTTAGTTTTATCTTTCATAATGATATTTCAATTGATGATCGAGACGAGCCTCTATGATGCCGGGTGAATTCATGTGAATAATTCGAGCAGAAGAAATAAATTACGTTTGCAACGTAATTTGATCACGCACACAATTATTCAACGACGCACAAAGGAAAATAAGAATTTCGATAGAATTTGTATTTTATTTCCAAAATGTATTAAGTTCTCGAAATGGAATTGAGAAAATTCATTCTCAATTTTCCTCTTACAAAAGAAAAGGATTAATCTATGAACATAAATAGATTGATAGAATCTTAGCTATTAATAATATTTTCTATAAAAAACTTTTCCTAGTTGATACTACAGTCAAAATACATCATTTATTCAAAATTATCTACAGAATATCTCAGAAATAACCTATCACAAAAATAAATGAGATATTTCTACCATTTTTAAATGAAATGAACTCAGCTGATTAACATCTAGCACAATATACTTCAATTTACACGTTGTCCTTTTGTTTCCGAATATTTTCATCAATTGTCAATCAAAAGAACTGCAAAGATCTGAGTGTTTTTTATTTTGATATATCCGATTTTGTAAAGCTATTTCCGATAAAAAAAAACAACTTTGTCTATTTTTTAGCAATAAATGCAAGTAACAAGACCAAATACTGGAAAACATCAAATTACTCGAGAAATTCAGAGTATTACAATATGTTTTTTTAGTAGATTGAGTGCAGCATCACATTGATTTTCTTCATATTTATCTATAATAATTTATTAATGAAATATAAATTGTTCATACTTTGCTTATAGCAAATGTTCCCATCAAAATTTAAAGAAGGTTGGTGTAATCTCTCAATAACTCGACAACTGTAATTACTAGCAACATACAGTTGTCAGTGATCGAAAGAAGAAAATTTCGGAGATCTTTTTGTCTAATACTACATAAGACAAAGTTATTTTAATATTCATCATCTTTGCAAAAACATGGACGAAAAAGATGCGTCATTCCACAGAAATTTTACTGAAAGTCGAATTCTATATAATTTGATTGAATAGATACGTGATTTTGTTTGTTGAATATTAAGATATGAGAAATTAATCATCTGAACAGAAACATTACCTTCATGTATTTTTTATTTTAATATTTTGCAAAGATAATGGACTTTTGAAATAATTGTATATCATATAGTATTAGAAAAAAATAACGTCGGAAGTTCTTCTCTTTCGATTGCTAAAAGTACTATGTTGCTAAATGTTACCATTGTCTAGTAATTAAGGTTATATTCATCTATTTTGAATTCTTGCATAGACATTAGTATTTCTAATAATATCCTGTTTCAAAGAAAATGAATATATCTCTGATATTTCTCTAATTCCATATCCACTTTTATGTTTATGCTTTCTGTCGTTGTTTAATTGTTATGCGGCCGAAAATCATGAAACAAAAAAAAGATGTATGTCAGCTATGAAAAGATAGAAATAGAAAACCTTCGATTGTTATTATTTAACCATTTTATCATGCAAATTAAACGTTATATGAAAGAATGCGTTTAAAGTCAAGTTAAATTTGTACTATATAAAAGCCGATATACTCTATATTTAAATGAAATTTATTTAACGTTATCCTATATTTACATGTGAATAAGTTTTTAATATAAAATTAAAGTTTTAATATATGACTTCAATAACTTGCTCGAGATGTAATGAATGATTTAATCTTTAAACAAAAAGAAACAGAGAAGTGTTTCTCATTGGTTTTTTCTTTTACCAGAAAAAAAAAATGAATATCCAGACCTAATTACAAAAAAAAACCCGATTACTATCTTAGACGAGATTTATAATACTCAAATTTTCGTGCAAATCACTTCTATAATTTATACCTCATTAAATATTTGAAAAATGATATTTATTTCAATATACTTTCTTATTTGTTGAAATAAATTCTTGACATAGAGAATGACTAAATAAAAATCTTCACACAAATGGTTTTTATCGTATTTATGAAGATATGGCTGAAATTGAATTAAGAGAATTAATTAAATTATTTAATTCAATACGCTTTGCTCGAATTATCAGTATCAAGAGATTTCTTTGGAACCTTTTTTGCTTTTATTTTCATAAAAACATACACGCATCACAAGAACTATACGAACATAATAAACAGATGACAAGGGGATTGAAAGATATCATATTGAAGAAAGAGAGAATCGCAATCTATATGAAATCAAGTGCAAAAGAAAAAGCAAGACTTGCTCTGAAGGTGAAGCCTGTAACAATCGTCCAAGAGAGGAAGCCATTAGACAATAAACTCTGTCTCTTCTCGAAATTAAGTTTCATATTTTCCAAATGGTCAATTCATGATAAAATTCCTCCCCTATCATGCTATGAAGGTAACGATCCGCTGTGAATTACATACTATTCGATGATTCTATTGAAACTCTACAAAATACTGCTATAACAACGAGCTTAATTTGTAGCTAAGACACTTTACTTAAATGCGCAATGATCAAGAGAACCGAAAAATTGTTCTTTTGGATCTCAACAGTTAGGATTTCTATCAAAAGAAATGATAAGTTTGAAATCAGTATAAGAAACTGAGTTAATCTATTTATATCATAAAATGATCGATCAACTTTCATTTGTCTCCAAAAAAAACTAGTCCTGGTATCCTTCAAGGGTACATCAAAAAATAAATTCAATCAAAACAGCATGTTCATTATTTTGTTCAGCTGTCGTTTGGGATTTTTCTAGTTTTTAACAAATTTATAATTGCCTTTTCATATTTAGACTGATGTTTTGATTGAATTCATTTTTTGACGTATCCCTAAGGGAAGAGAAGGAGTAAGACTGATTTTTTGGAGAAAAATGAAAGTTGATGAATCATGTTATGATAT